GGGGGTTGTGAGAGACACAGAAGGGGAAAAAATGTGGGATAAGAAACATTAAAGCAGGCAAGACATTCAAAAGTGGGGATAAGTAACACAGCATAGGGGTTGAGAGAAACACAAGTGAAGATGCATTATTATGTTTTTTGAAGTGGGGGGGACAGCAAAATGCATCTTCACCTGGGTAGCCAAAAGTCCTTGCACCGGCCCTGGATACAGCACATACACAGATATTACAGGTAGGGCAGTAAATAGAAAAGATATATTTTGTATAAACCTATTTAAAGATATCTCAAAACTGGTCACATGACACACAGGCTCTATATCGTAAAGGACATGCACTCTAGAAATGCATTATCACACCAATTTTAAAGGCTTTTTTTGTTAAGAAGTTTTGATCTTGCGGTTATTTGATATAATACATTTAAATAAATTTGACAATTTCAAAATGCCTGCCAAACCACATGGCTGATTGACAAATTGACAAAAAGATTTCAAATTTGAAGTGGCTACTGGCATTTGTGACTTTTGCACCCATAGTACATCGGTACAATTGACAACAATCTCAATATGGCTGGAAAACAACATGATGAATTCACCAATAACTGTGGCCAAGCATAAGAGTATGGATAAAGCGCCGGCATATGTATTGTAAAGAGAAGTAAGTTACAGAGATGTCAAATTCAAAATGGCTGCTGACCTTTGATCCTCATATTAGCTTTGGCACTTTTACTATTGAGTAATCACATATTTAAAGGAACACTTAAAACCACCTTAAACCCTCCAGTTTGCTGAAATACTTAAGTGGTTCAAAGAGTTTTACCTACTTCTCATTTCATAAAAGTGGTGATTTCAAGAGACGTAGGCACTTTTACAAAGGCCAACCAGATAGCCAGGAGGGTGCCTTACGCCCTTGCACAGGGGTAGGCAAAATTCTGCACTCCAGAAGTTGTGGACTACATCTCCCCTGATGCTTTGCCAGCATTATGGCTGTAAGAGGATTGTAGGAGATGTAATCCACAACATCTGAAGTGCCAAAGGTTTCCTACCCCTGCTCTAGCACAAAGCAGAGATGACAGCTTTTTATAAAGAAGCATTGGTTTTAATGCTTCTCTATGAGGACCATTGCAAACTCAGCACAGTTGCCATGCAGAATTCTTGATAGAGAAGCACACTGGAATATGTGCTTTTAGCAGTTTCTAATACAGTTCAGTTGTGAAATAAATGCAAATTTATGCGGTTCTGTGACACCTTGAAGGTTTTTGGCTAGTGTCAGTAATTTTGATACTGTTGTAGTTTCTGCGACAGAGAACAGGAAAACATGCTGTATGTAGGTTTTCCTGGTCTCACCTATCACTCAACTTTTAAAATTGTGTTTGTAAGAAATACTCACACAGTGTTTCGGGAACACCTGTAAGGCAATTATCTGACAGGTCCAGCTCAGTGCAAACTTTCAGACAGCCTATCTCTTCTGGGAGAGACTCCAGTTTGTTCCCAGACAGGTACAATTTATCCAGTTTCCGAAGTTGTCCAATAGCTGCTGGTATCTCAGTCAATTGGTTGAACATAACAGAGAGGTATGTCAAGTTGACCAGGTTACTGATGTCTTCTGGGAGAGTTCTAAGGTGGTTGCAGGAAAGATGAAGTTCTGATAGACTAGTGAGGAATGTGAGGCAGGATGGTAGTTCTGTGAAACTGTTATAGCTAAGGTCCAGGTAGGTGAGTCTTTTCAGGTTACAGAGCTCGGATGGAAGAGAGGTCAGTAATCCATGCTGACATTTGCCTAGCTCATCTCTTGCTAGTCCACCTGTGGTGTGATAAAAAGGAAGATAATACAGGTTATGATTGCCATACTTATTCCCAAACTGTTATCTTTTAACCCCTTAAGGACCAAACTTCTGGAATAAAAGGGAATCATGACATGTCACACGTCATGTGTCCTTAAGTTTAAAGGAAAGCTTTTATAAGTTTATAATTATTATTTAAAATAAAACTGCCAAGGATTTTTTTATATTATTATGTTTAACTATCCCTTTATATACAAAATGTATTTTTTTTTTTGTTAGACTGTAAAAATGAAAATTTGTTGTTCAAATCCACATCTCTTTAATTGGTACCTACATTGAAAATAACTTTGAAAATGTCTTATAACCTGTGTTTTCATGAGATGCTCCATTTTCAGACAGGGCAAAGACAATATATAAACATTGTTTAATTTCTCCTCTTCTAGGTATGCTTTCTCTATACAGACTTCCCAACACAAAGACAGACGGTATAATAATGATTGACAGGGAGCTAAGATGGAGGCACTCAGTTGCTGGATAAATGTAGATTTATTCATATACTTTTATTTTATTACACCGCACACATGTGTGTTTGTTATATATGGGGAATCAGTAACCATACTATTAAAAAATTTAGGAACTCACAGTTCCCCTTTAAGCAATGACATAATCTAGAGACCAAGGGTGCCCAAATGGTAGATCCCCAGATGTTGTAGAACTGCAACTCCAATGATGCTTTGCATACCTTTAAAATGACAAAGCATCATGGAAGCTGTAGTTTCCAAACATCTGGGGATCTACCTACTGGGCACCCCTGATCTATGCACAGCTACATGAACAAGTTGATTTGTAGCATCCGTTGCACATACTGCACCTTATACCTGATGAGTTACAATAATCGGTAGTAAATCAGACTGGCATATCTGAGAAAATGAAAACCCATCAATACCAGTCAAACAGCAGAGATTAAAAATAGAAAGCTCACCAATATACACTTAAACTACTGGTGCAAAACAACTTCATTACGCATGACATATTGAAGTTGTTGACACAGTACATTTGTGCAGAGGAGCAGTTTATTTACCCCTTAAAGGGAACCTATAGTCCCAAAAATTACAATTGTATAATTTCAGGACTACATGTTCCCTTACAGGTTTGCCATCACTGCCCACCCCCCTTTGCTCTGTAAAATTAGATTAGATAATGTTTACTCACCTTGTTCCCAGCACCGCGGCTCCTCCACTGCAGCCTCCAGCTTCTCCCCAAGTGATGTCAGCACCCAAGCTGACATCACCTGCGATTTCCTCCAATCCATTGCTTCTCATAGAGAACCAATGGATTGGAACTATGCATGCCCCACCAAGCGTTATGCTCTTCAAACCAAATGCTGTTATTGGCAGCGTTTGATTCCAGGTCTGAGTTTCACTCGCTTCAGGAGGAGGAAGCTCCTGTAGTGGCTGTCAGAAAGGCAGCTACCGGAGGCTTTAAAAAAAAAAATAATAATAATAAAGGTTATTCATTAAAGTTAGAATTCAAAGTGAAATTCACATTTTACGCTGAAAGCATAGATGACTTGGAAAATGTTGATTTAAATTTGAAATTCACATAGAATTCTTACTTCAGTGAATAACCCTGAATGTGTATAGAGTGTGCTTCTGGGATCTATATCTCTACAGACCACCTGCTTTTTCTATAGAACCATGAATTCCACAAATTGTTTCAGAACGGTGAAATATATCATTGCTGCTTTTTTTTCTGAAAAAAAAAATGTATTCTTGGTTACCCTATTATTGTGTAAACAGCAAGATCATGCAACAGAAATTAAGATGCTGAATACTACTATTCTACGAGCAAAATGGAATAATTATATTCTCACCTTTCAAGACCAAGACACGGAGCTCATGGAGGATATGCAATGCACCTACAGCCTGACTGATTTGTGCATTATTGCTGCTAAGGTGGAGTATTTCAACCTGTTCAAGATCACCTCTCTTTGCCTCTGTCAGCTGTAGAAAGCACTCGCATCCGTCCGAGCGATACTCCAGAACGAGCCTGTCCCCTGCAATGGGAGATGAGGGACTGACTGGTTCCTCTGTGCTGGTTCCCACCCACTGGGAGTCCATCTTGCATTGTCTGAGCGTAGCAACACGGGCATGTCACAGCTCGCCCAGCACAGAGACGATGCCAGCTAGACCAGGGTAATAACGATCTGCAGAGAGAGAGTGACAAAACACAATTAACAGAAGGAAAGGTGTAAAGTGAAAGCATAATATAAAAGATTTTTAAAAAAGTGGCTTAGAGGAAAATATATCTCATCAACGCATCACCAGGCATAAAGAAATAAAATAAATATAAAAAGGAATCAAAATTACAAATATACATAGCTATACTAGCGTATATAACATATACACCTAACGGTCCCTTATGCAAGATATACAAAGCCTACCAGTCCCCTAATCATTGTAGACCACGTTTACAATTTCCCACAGCAAAATGCATGAAATCATAAATATTATAAGCAAAATAAGGCTTTAAAATGGCCATATCACAATGCTGACTTTAAAAAGTCAAGAGTTATTATAGTATGCAGAAAGTTTAGGGATACATAGTGTTTTGGGAACTTAGACCTTCACCTCGCTTTGAATAACGGTTAGATTTCCCAGGAATGTCGAAAGCTGACAACTTCTACCTTAAATCTTCCATAACGCTAAGCCTCTGTATGCTAAGTCCCCCCTAACCTAGACTCCCCTTATTACAAGGGAACTCCTAACCGCTCCAAAAATATATAGATTTTAAATACTACTGTAATAAGGTTGCTCACTTGTGAATGCAGAAAATTTTTAGAGGTGATCAAAAAACACTTATTTAAAACATAGCATTGTGATTGCACAATGTAGCAGTCTGTAGCTACATACTCTACAGTCTTCTCACAAAAATGAGAATTTTATTAAAAACAACAAAAAAATTATCCTGCCAAATTTAGGCAAAACAAGAAGCGTTTTGGAAAACTTCCATTGGGTCTGCATTAGAAATTTGATCAAACTCTACTATATCCGACTTGATCAGGTCACCCAAAATGCACTATAAGTTAAATACAACGCCTTGCCTTCATGGACAAACATCTTACAACTAATCGTTTAGTGAACAAACCCCCAATTCCATATTTTTTTTTACACTCTCTTTTCAATAACACAGAATAATACTGAAAGCAATCACACTAAGAACGACAAAATAACATATTATTAGGATTACGGTGGAGTGTATTTTTAAATCAATCTGCCAATGCAGACACCTCTATAAAGAGTAAACATATTTCTACAGACAATTTGAACTTTACATTTAAAATGCATTTTCAAACAATTGCTTTTACTCATATGTTTTGAATAATAATTGGAACACATGCTCAGCCCTCTTTTTATACCAATACCAAAAGAAAATCATTAGTATACTCACTAAGAAATCACGAATGTCAGGACTGGCTGATCAATGATCCCTTTGTTCTTCTATGTAAAAACACATAAACCATCACATATAGGATTTTATGTTTGTGCAAAGGTTGGAGATACATGTATAAAACAGTGAATTAGTTACAGCAAGTTCTCTGTATTTCTGCCATTGATACACTTTTTAACTTCCTGGTTGTACAGGACAGAAGGTCTCTACGACAACAAATGGGGCAGGGCTTCAAATCTGGATGGCTACTCTTGCCCTCCCCCATCCACCCATCTTTGTGAGGCTTGTCAGGACACGTGTTCTAAAAGAACTGGAAACAGTTGATTATTGTTGCCTCAGGGATGAGGAGAAACAGTTATCCCACTAAAGTTTCAGAGATTTCAAACAAAACTGTTTCCTCATTTTAATTTATTGAGATTATTTTTCTGAGGCTCTGGCTATTTTTCTTATTTATATATTTTTACTGAACGAGAGCATCGTATTTTTGGGGGTGATTTCTTATATTAGGGTATTTTTTATCATCGGACTAGTTTTATTAATATTAATTTTAATCAAGGTGTAACTTTGTATTTAGAAACATTGTATAGTAACAATCATCAGTGCGTGGAATTTAAATCACTTTGACCCTAACATAAAATACCCTTAATTTAGACATTACCTTATCTCTAAATGTGAGTTTGTATGATGTGAAAAATAAAATTATTTATAGAAATTCACATACTCAGTCATTTGCTAAATCGTTAAAATTATATATGGTTTTGAAATGGTTCGCTCATGTGCAATTTCCAGAAAAGTGACAGTTCCCCTTTTAAGCTGTGGATGAGACCTGAGTACAGTTAAATGTAGTTGCTGGGATGATGGGATCATGACGAGTTGTACCGCTAACTATAAATTATATGGGCAAGCAGACTGCCAAGTTCGGCAATGTTGAAACAGTTATTGACAGATCTGCACTAAAACTTAAAGCACTATAACCACTACAGTGAGTCAGGAGATTTAGAATGATTTTACTTCTTGCATTGGGTCCACCAGGTATCACTTCCCACCTCCTCTCAACCTTCATGAGAGTCAACAGCTGCTGTTTATTAGCTTCCATTAGCTCTCCCAAGTGAAACGCTGCAGTGTAGGCTGGCTTATTGGCTGAGAGCATCACTTGAAAACCCAGGTAGTTTGACTACTTACAATGGGGTGCGATCAGGGCACTCCTGGCACCAAAACCACTGCAGTGGTGCTTGGAGTATTCCTTTACCAATAGAGTACACAATAAGTTGTAGTGGTTATGCTACTTGGTGTGTCCCTTTAAAGTTTACAAACCTGATGTGTCCCACAGGATTGTGTTATCTGTAAGTGATAATTACAAGGTATAGAGAAAAACAGTAGCGTATGCTGCAAACCTTCTCTTTGTCAGGATCAAACCAATCATTAAATATTCCCTAGTGACATAAGCCTGTATTCACACACGTAACATCGAGGTTTGCTATCCAGTAGAGAGGATAAGTCACTTACATTTTATTTTAAAACTATAAAATCAATATTGGATGAGTATAAAAGGGAATAATAACCAGGATATTTTCTGTCACAGATATTTTTATGTGTATAATGCATTCCAACATATATTTGTAAACGTAAGAAAATAATTAATTACATTATCACTTTTCAGTACATCACTTAGCCTTGCTCTATTGGCAGCCATTTTGTCCCTTTGGTCAGACACAAGCTAAACAAAAGCTGTGCTGATAATATGGGTTTATATGAGTCCACAAATCCTGAAATCACAAGCAAACACAGGACATCCCGGTCTCAGGCGGACCACCCCAGAGGCTATGGAAGCAGCCCCAACAAACTCGAGATGAAACCAATATGGCGGAGACCACGAGTGGGACACCAGGCCCCACACGAGAGAACGACATCCTGGCGCGGATAAACGCCACATTCGCTACATTCTGGGCAAAGCTCGAGGACCGACTGAGCACTTCCAACGCTTGGGTCCCAGACCCACCATCACGCCGCACCCGCCCTGCCTGCTCACCCAGCAAAGCCATGCGCACCAAACAAACACGGCGTCAAAGAAGGTGCACTCTCCGGCGGGCGGGGGCACGCACATGGCGGCGCCCGACAACGACTACCACCTGGCACAAGACATGGCAAGCCGCACCCAAGCACACAACTATAGTGCGGCCCGCAGCGAGAGCCAGGAAGAGCTTGCGCTCCCACACGGGAGGTACCCGCACCGGCAAAAGGGTCTGGAGGGACAGTGGTCTGCCCACACCCCATCAAGCGACCAAGGTTGTACCTGGAACACACAGACCTGGCGGTTGGGATGGGTGAGTCCCCAAGCAGCATACAAACCCTGGGAAACACCCCTGAAGGCATAGGCTAAAGGGGACTCACTGGGACATTGGGCAGGAGGCATGAGACACACAACCTCTGGTAGTGGCATACTATCGCTCCCTCTAAGCCAGGACTCATATTGTCTCACGGTAACCGAACCGCTTTCAACACTGATCCCCTGACCCCCCCCCCCAAACCGCCCGACCCTAACGATTAAGCTGCAACTCCAACTCCACGCTCCTGTCAGCGGAGAGATGAGGGCTGCCGACGGGGATGGAATACCTGAACAAACATGAGATCACAATGTGGACTAATAATGTCACTCAGATTATTATAAGCGATGACTTTGCTTCTTAGTTTAGCGAGCTATACCCTGCTCCCTGTGAAAACCCTCCTGAGCCTAGAAAGTGAAGCGACACAAGCATAAGTTGGTAATTTTGTCTAGTTAAGTAATGGAGGTACACACTTACATGAACCGGAGACAAAACAGCTAAGCCTGTAGATAAGCCTCGGACCGTGCTAATTGTTTTAAAAAGTATGCATTATATTGTACAGACAGGGAATCGCTATAGCTGCTAAGCTAAACCACAACCACACGTTACTTAAATACCTATCGTTCTGCCTACACATGATAAATGTCATCTTTGTTAATTAAAAAATGTGCACGTAATTTCAAATGCCCCATTGTTAAAAGGGCTTAAAATCGGTGTGAGGAATGCCACTGGGGTACCTTACGCATATTGTTACCTTTCATTGCACTGCAAAAATAAAAAATAAAAAAAAAACATTTAGACAGTTGCAATTTGTCTTCTGCGTCAAGACTATGTTTGTCGGAGGATTCCAAGAAGTAGACAAACTGGAGGAGCACCTTTGATGAAAAGGGCCTCTCAGCCTGCCTTATTTAGTCACCAAACTTCAAAAGGTCCTTGAGCAGGCTTGGCCCTATACTTTATGGATTGCCTAGCCATGCTGTTTTTGGGGATTGCATATACCGTTAGAAGTGGAGGTTCGTATGATGATTGCCAATGGCAATGTACGTACACCATATGTCCTTTGTCATTAAAGGTTTAAAGAGTTTTTCCAGCACATGGGATTAAATGCACACTGCGGGCACCCAGACCACTTCATTTTATTGAAGCAGTCTGGGTGCAGTGTGCCTGTCCACCTTAAATCCAGTGCTGGGTGAAGCTCCCTTTACTGATCTTTCACACCCCCTCCGATGTCACAGTGGCCAATCACAGGCTGCACACAAAGAATGAATAAACCACAAGTTTGAAAGTGTATTATAGTGCAACCACGACCAAACTAATACTCCCTATTTAGCTAGCAATAAAACAATATATACCACTAGGTGGGCGCATGCAAGGTGTGTATGTAACCGAGTAAACTTGCAGAAGCCAGACACAGAGAGATGGATGTAGGTTTTCAGGAAGTAAGAGGTCTTTATTAACATACCGATCGGGTCTCAGATGAACTAACGTTCCAAAACAGGTCTGAGGGCTGAACACATGGAGTACATGCTTTTTATAGAACTATAACTGCTCCCATTTATAGCTCCACCCGCACATACCCTTAACCAATCAGTGGACAGGATTTGGATTTCCTCATATGGGCAGACCACATGGCTCATCCGAAACAAAGGAGAAAGGAATGTGATTTCCATTCCTGCATTCCCGCACATGCTCAGTACATTGATGACAGTATCTTAGCTACGTGTAACTAACTAACTGATGTGGTGGAATCTCGGTAAAAATAAATTTAGTAGGCCGAGATTACCACGTGGCATGTGTACGTGCATATGCTGACGTATCGATCAGTTGGTTGTACGAGGCAAGATACGATCAGTAGTGTACGGAGCATGTGCAAGAATACAGGATGTAGTATTCCCCTCCTCCATTGTGCTGGACAAGCCATGCGGTCAAGCAGGAAGTTAATTCTCATTTGTAATGATTGGTCAAGAGAATGTGCGGGTGGAGCTTAATATGGGAGGAGCTATGTGCCTATATAGGGAGCCTGCACTATTGTTCAGGGCTCAGAACTTGCTGTATTTTTGGTGACATTAGTCCCTCTGAGTCCCGATCGGTGATCCAATAAAGAATCTCTTCCTTCCTGAAGAAACCTGTGTCCATCCCTCTGTGCTTTGCTATCATTTGGTGCATTGGCCGGGAAGCTCATCGTTCAACGGTAGCTGAGAGGCAGAGGCGTGAGACGGTCTATCTTTGCCCACGTTCTCTACGGCTGCACCCCTGAACTTCTGCGTGGACCTCCCTTCGTCTCGGCGCCACTGGTCTGTTGTCCAGGAGATCATCGGCCTCACAGTAAGAAGTGCTGGGGTGTCCCCGTCGATGAGTGTGAACTCAGGTTCAGGAACGAGGAGGTAAGACAACTGCTGTTTTAGACGGCAGACCCACTAGGGGTATACCGATTGTGCGGTAGGCCCAAAAGGGGTTTAAATCTGTATATGGAATCTGCCCCCTCTGTCGGAGGGAAGGAGCGAAGGCGCACCGCTCGATCGAACGCTCTTTAGTAAGACCGTTTGATCTGGTTAGTCAGGCGGGGTCCTGTGTAAATAGCCCCAGCCGGACACCGGTGTCTTGTCTAGACTAGCGTTCTAGGGTGTATATTACGTTCGCTAGGTCGGAGGGACCGGGAGACTAAGCGGCGCCTGTGTAAATTCGGTTCGCTAGCTCTCAACCCATCTTGGCTAAGTGGGAAGGCGTGTAAATTTGGAACCCACTAGACTTTTGATAGAGTAAATAGACTAGAAGGGCAATTTTGTAAATTTCGCCCTCTAGTTCGCTATATGTGGTGTTTGGGCAGTGTGGCTAACCAAAATGGGTGTATATAGTTTTAG